CTGAACTCTAGCAAAAACAATCCCAACCTAGTCAATCTCTCCTCAGACGTCAGACCGGCCATCCCCAGGTAAACCTTTGTTGCACTCCCTTGAGAGCAAGAGCATCCTTCCTCAGAAAAGGAGACCAAAACTGCATGCAATATTCCAGGCATAGTCTCACGAAGACCCTGTACAACTGTAACAACACATCCCTGCTCCTGTACTCAAAACCTCTCGCAATGAATGCCAACATACCATTTGCCTTCTTCATCGCCTGCTCCACCTGCATGCTTACCTACAGCGACTAGTGCACAAGGACACCCAGGTCCCGCTGCATACTCCCCTCTCCCAATTTACACCTATTCAGGTAGTAATCTGCCTTCTTGTTTTTGCTTCCAAAGTGAATAACCTCACATTTATCCAAATTATACTGCATCTGCCATTGATTTGCCCACTCATCCAACCTGTCGAGAACTTGTGGGAAACTAGGGAAGAGATTGCTAAGCCCCCTGCTGAGCTATTTGTATCATTGACAGCCATGGATGAGGCGCCGGAAGACTGGAAGTTGCCTACTATTGTGCCATTATTTAAGAAAGGTTGTAAGAAAAAGCCATGGAACTATAGACCGGTGAGCTTTACATCAGTTGTGGGTAAATTGTTGGAAGGAATACTGAAAGATAGGTTTTACATGTATTTGGAAAGGCAAGGACTGATTAGGGATAGTCAACATGGCTTTGTGCATGGGAAATCATGTCTCACAAACTTGATTGAGTTTTTTGAGAAAGTAACATCGGATATTGAGGAAGGCAAAGCTATGAACATTGTCCATATGGACTTCAGAAAAGCATTTGAGAAGTTTCTGCATGGTAGACTGATTAGTAAGGTTAGATCACACGGGATATAGGGGAAGCTAGCCGATTAGATACAAAATTGGCTTGACGGTAGGAGACAGAGAGTGGTGGTAGAGGATTGTTGATCAAACTGGAGGCCTGTGACCAGCATTGTGTGAAAGGATTAATGCTGGCTCTAGTGTTGTTCATCATTTATATAAAATGATTTGGATGCGAAGATAGGAGGCATGGTTAATAAATTTGAAGATGACTCTGAAATTGGTAATATTGTGGACAGTGAAGAAGATTACGCAAGAGTAAAATGGGATCTTGATCAACTGGGCCAGTGGGCCAAGGATTGGCAGATAGTTTAATTTAGCTAAATGTGAGGTGTTGCATTTTGGTAAGACAAACCAGGGGAGGGCTTCCACAGTTAATGGTAGGACCCTGGGAGTGTTGCCGAACAGAAAGACCTAGGAATGCAGGTACACTGTTCCTTGAAAGTGGCATAACAGGTAAACAGGATTGTGAAGAAGGCATTGGCACACTTGCCTTCATAGGTCAGAGCATTTGGTACAGGAATTGAGACATTATGTTAGGACTGTACAAGACATTGGTAAGGCCTCATTTGGAGTACTGGTGATCCTGTTATAGGAAGGATGTGATTAAACTGGAAGGGGTACAGAAAATATTTACAAAGATGTTAGTGAGACCTGAGGGTTTGAAATATGAGGAGAGGCTGGATAGGCTGGGACTTTTTTTCCCTAGAGTGTAGGAGGTGGAGCGGTAACTTTATAGAGGTTTATAAAATCATGAGGGGCATAAATAAGGTGAATAGCCAAGGTATTTTCCTCAGGGTAGGGGAGTCTAAAACTAGAGGGCATGGATTTAAGGTGAAAGGGAAAGATTTAAAAGGAACCTGAGGAGTAACTTTTTCTCACAGAGGGTGGTGCATACATGGAACAAGCTGCCAGAGGAAGTGGTAGAGGTAAGTGTAATTACAAAACTTAAAAGACATTTGGACAGCTACATGGATAGGAAAAGTTGAGGGATATGGGCCAAATGCGATTAGTTCAGTCTAGGAAAAGAGACAAAAATAGAAATTGCTAAAAAACGCTCAACAGGTCTTGCAGCATCTGTGGAGCAAATCAGAGTTAACATTTTAGGTTGAGTGACTCTTCCTCTGTCTAGGAAACCGGATCAGCATGGACAATTTGGGCCAAAAGGACCTGTTTCCATGCTATGTGGCTCTATGACTGTGACTCTTCTGACAGAGATTATCAATGAGTTCATAAGGAAATTGTCTACAGGCACGTATTTTGGAATTAGTTCCTACTTGAGAACTCAAAGGAGAGCCAACTATAGAGTCTCATTTTGTGTTGACAACCCTCTGATGGATAATTTGCCATTTCCTTTCATTTTTTTAACCTTCAAAACAAATAATTATGATATATAAAATACAAATTCAGTTCCCAATAATAATACTTTATTAAAGCTTATGTATCCTTTCCAAGTGCAGCAATAGGGAATTGGACCCAAGAATAAATAATACTCAAAAGTCTAAAGTTTGGTGACATTCTACTTACTTCAGGCCTAGCTAGTGCCATAAGTCTGTCTTTGTCGAGGTGCTAAGCCATCACAATTCATTTCTAAACACTACCTTGCCACCAATAAAATAATAGATCATACAGCAAGTCTTCTCCCTGTCCTTCTCAGTCAAATTATGCTACCTAATCTTGGAACCTAAGGAGAGCAAACAGATATTAGAGGCACCATTAAAGACACTAAGAGGCAATACCAGACTAAGCTAGAGACTCAAACTAACCACCCTGACACCTGCCTCTGACCATTAATTATGAAGTGTTTCAAGACTTTAGTCATGGCTCTTATGAACTTTAGCCTCCCAGCCTGCCTTGATCCTTTTTTTTTTGCTGATGCAAGATAGCAGTGGAGTAACAGGGCTGTGTGTAGGCTCTTGCCTGGAGCCCATCTGCTCCCATCTGCTTTCCTTCTCTGTTTTACTTTTGCTTCTGTTCTTTTCTTTCACTTTATTTTTCTTTCCTTTTGGTCTTTTTCCTTCTTTTTTTCTGTGGCAGATTGGTCAGCAACACTGGCATGGCAGCAAGAACAGGCCGCACGCAGAGTGGTGGATGTGGCTTCTCCTGGCAATCAGAGGCGGAGGCAGTGGCAGCAAGCGTTCTCGCCATATGGGGCCCCGTGGCAGCAGCAGCGAGTGCGTTCTCCTACTGTTCAGGGCCGGAGGCGGCAGCAGTGAGGTTGTTTTCCTGGCATTCGGGGCCTGTGACAGCAGCAGTAGCAAAGCTCCTCCAGTGATCAGGGATAGCAGCAATGGAGTCGTCAAAATGGCAATGTCAGCAAGGTGACATCTGCAGCCAAAGTGGGACTCATGGCGCGGTGGCGGGCTGGCCTGGCAGTAGAGCCAGAGACTCTTAGTTGCAGGGTGAGTGTGGGTTCAGCGGCATCAGTGAAGTGGGCTCAGTGGCAAAGAGATGGCACCTAAAACCGGGGCAACTTCTACATTGCTGTGTCTGGCACAGGCGGCGGGGACATAGTAGAGGTCTCCCTTGAAGTTAGGTGCTGGCATGGACAGGGTCAGAAAGACTGATACTTATTTTTCTAATTTATTCCTCAGACCTACAATGCTGGACTATTTATTTCTTTACTTTTCTAATTTTGTTTTGTTTCTTCAGAATTTGATCTTGACTATATGTACCTAGATATGTTTGAACCAAAGTGGTGCTGTAATGCTGTGTCTGGAAACTTTCCACTATATTCATTTGAGTAAATGACGATAAAATTAATGCAATTCAATTCAATTCAATCCAATCCAATTCCCTTGCAATTTGCCCACTATCACAACAGGTCCACACCAGACACCATCTCTCTGGCCCTGCACTCATCTCTGGAATATCTGAATAACAAGGATACCTCTATCAGGATCCTACTCATTGGTATTATAGTGTTAAAAGCAGAGCTATGGTCAATCAAACTAATCTCCAAAGTCTGAAACCTAGGTCTCTGATCCACCCTCTGTACACTCATGACTGTGTGATGAAATTTTGTCCTAACTGTGACTACAGGTTTGTTGACAAATTGTACACCAGATCTCAAACAACAATGAGACAGAACACCAGAAGGGGATAGAGTCCTTGGTGGCATGATGTAAAGATATCAATCTCTCTCTCAATGTCAGCTAAACAAAACAACTGGTCATTGATTTCAGGAAGAAGGTGGAGGGCACACTGGTGTCTACATCAGTGGTGCTGAGGTGGAGATGGTTGATACCTTACCTAGGAGTAATGATCGCCAACAATCTGTCCTGGCCCATCCACATTGATGTAGCAGTCAAGAAAGCACAACAATGCCTCTACTTTCCTCGGAGGCTAAGGAAATTCAGCATGGCTGTAAAGACTCTTACCAATTTTCATAGTTGCACCATGGAAAGCATTCTATCTGGATGCATCACGCCTTGGTGTGGCAACTGCTCTGCCCAAAACCATAAGAAACTACGGAGAGTCATGAACACAGCCCAGTCTATTAGGCATGCCAACCTTCCATCCACTGACTCCATCTATACTTCCTGCTGCCTCCGGAAGGTAGCCAACATGATCAAAGACCCCTCCCACTCCAGTTAAATCTCTTCCAACGTCTTCCATCAGACAGAAAATACAAAAGCTTAAACATATACCAACAGATTCAAGAACAGCTTCTTCCTTGATATTATCGTACTTCTGAACATACTTCTCAACTTTCAAATTTGATGTTGACCTTGCTCTCTGTGCACCTTCTCTGCAGTCGTGACATTGCATTCCTTGCTCTGTTCCATTATACACTTTGTACATAATGATCTGCCTGTACTGCACGCAAAACAAAACTTCTTACTGTACCTAGGTACATGTGACAATAGTAAATCACAAAGGAATATATTTTTGGAGTATAGTTTTCAAAGAAAAAAATGCATAGAAAAGTGGCCACCCTCATGTCTATTAACATTCATCTTGAATTAGATTAAAATTATTGTTAAATATCGTCCAAAAGTGGAATATTGGTTTATTTTCAAAAGTATGGAGCACTATTTTTTGACATTATGGAAATTTTGATAATGATAGTGCTATTTGAAAGGATGAGCCCAATTTTCTGGGAAATGGCAAAGTCAGACTGCCACTCCAGACCTATTCTTTACATTAAGAAAGAGCTCAACATTTCTGGAAGGAAATATTTGGTAGTGGGAAGTTGAGTGGTGCCAGCTCTCGCAGCAGGGGAGGGGATTTTCAGAGTCCAGCAGGAAAAGGAGTATTGGCTCTGGGGAGGGGTGAATTGAGGTGCCATACATGTCAGGTCTGACTGCAGTGTTGTTGGATTCTGAGGGGAGATAGAGGTGTCTCGTCCCAGGGGAAGAGGATGTCAGATTCAGAGGCGGGGATGGGAAGATTGGGTCTGGAAGGTGTAAGGTTATGGATGTGTGTGTGTGGTAAAATGGAAGGTCAGTTTAATAGTTAGCCAGGAATTTGACTAGGTTTTTAATAGCCTAGCATTTCTTTGGTAGCTAATAACTTAGCTGCAGTGGAACCCTTGAATTTTCTCATTTAAATGGATACTATCAGAGGTTTGCAGAGACAAGAGAATTGCACATCAGAATCTTCAAGTTCCCATAAATTTTCTTTCTTGAACACTATACTCTAAAACATATCTGTCTGCTAATTCAGAGATTCTGCAGGGTCCCAGTATGCAACTCTCATCTATGACTGTCTGGCTATCGAAAATTATGGGCTGATATTTCAGGCGTAGTAAACTGAAATTAGCAAGATGATGATGCAAGTTTTTAAAAAGCTTTACCAGCAACTGCATCCTTCATGTCAATCTACAATTATATTTCTGGAGAGAGGATGAAACCCAAAATAATTTTGATCAAGTTTGATATTGTTTGAAAATGATTGGAAAAATTACCGATATTTGTAGAATGTGTTCGTTGCATAACTTGTGTTGGGCAAGAATTGGAAAGGATAGAACCTATCATTGTTCTGTGTATTTTAGAGAAATTTGATATTTCTATTTGCAGTAAATTATTTATATAATTGGCATATGGTTTTGTTTAGCATCTTTTCTGTGGCTTTCCTACAGAATTCTATTTGGATCATATATGAGAAATACAACCAAATACTGTAAATTAGATTTTCTGTTATGCTACATATATGATTTTCTAGGATCATATGGATGGAGGTAAGAAATAACAAGAGGGCGAAGAGACTGGTAGAAGCAGTCTAACTATAACAATAGCTATAGCTATAGCAAGACCTTCCTATATTGATACTGCTTTCTCTCTGAAATAAGGGGCAATATTCTATTTGTCTTCTCTACTACCCACTGAACTTGATTTTTTTTTTGTGATTCAAGCATGAGGACTCCAAAATCCCTCTGGCAGCGCAGCTTTATGCAGTCTTTATCCATTTAAATAACATTCAACTCCTCTATTCTTCCTACCAAAGTGCATAACATCACATTTTCCCACATTATATTCTATCTGCAAGATTTTGTCCACTTGTTTAACTTGTCTGAATCTCTCCACAGACTCTTTGAGTCATCCTCACCACTTGCTTTCCAACCTATTTTTGCATCATCTACAAACTTGGCTATGTACATTCACTTTCCTCATTGATGTATACTGTAATCAATTGTGGCTCCAGTACTGATCCCTATGCCATTCCATCCTGATCCTTATGCCGTCCTGAAAACCCCCTTCTTATCCCAACTCTGATTTCTATTGTAATACATCCCAATCTGATGAGGTCAATGTGTTCTACACTTGCTTTCAACAGAAGGTCAGTGAAACTATGTCACTTGTCGCAACAGCCTTGGATGCACCTGTACCCATGGTCACTGCTGCAGGTGCTATGTGGCCTTTCATTAGAGTGGACCCATGGAAAGCTGCTGGCCTGGATGGAGCCCCTAGCCATTCACTCAAATCCTGCGCAGACAAGCTGGTAGGAGTATTCATAGACGTCTTTAACCTCTCCTTACTACGATCTGAAATCCCCACCTGCTTTAAGAAGACTACCATCAGCCCAGTGCCAAAGAAAAAAAAAAAAATCATATAACGTGCCTCAGTGACTACCGCCTGGAGGGTCTGACCTCCATAATGATGAAATGCTTCAAGACATTAGTCATGGCTCATATCAACTCCAGCTTCCCAGATTGCTTTGATCCATTACAGTTCACCAACCTGCATAACAAATCCACAGCAGATGCGCTCTCCCTGGCCCTACACTCATCCCTGGAACATCCGGATAACATGAAGACGTTTGTCAGGTTCCTATTTATTGATTACAGCTCCACCTTCAACACCATCATTCCGAACAAACTCATCTCTAAACTACAAGACCTAGGTCTTCGCTCCGTCCTCTGTAACTGGATCCTCAAATTCCTAATCCATAGACCGCAATCATTAGGAATAGGTTACAACACCTCCTCCATCATAATCCTCAATACCAGTTTCCCACAAGGCTGTGTACTCAGCCCCCTACTATACCCCTTGTGTACTCACAACTGCGTGGCCAAATTCTGCCCCAATCTACTTATACGTTTGCTGACAACACCATCCTTGTAGGTCAGATCTCAAACAACGATGACACAGAGTACAGAAAAAAAGATTGAGTGCTTAGCAGCATGGTGTAAAGACAACAATATCTCATTAATATCAGCAAAACAAAGGAGCTGGTCATTGATGCCGAAAGGGGCGTGCCCTCCACTCCACTTCCTGAAGTCAATGGTGTTGAGGTAGAGAGGGTCAAGAGCATCAAGTTCCTGGGTGCAATGTTCACCAATAATCTGTCCTGGTCCACCCACGTTGCAGTGATGGTCAAGAAAGCAAAGCAATGTCTCCACTTTCTCAGGAGGCTAAGGAAAATTAGTATGTCCACAAGGACTCTTACCAATTATTATTGATGCATCATAGAAAGTATCATATCTGGATGCATCAAAGTGTGGTGTGGCAACTGCTCTTCTCAAGACCGCAAGAAACTACAAAGAGCTGTGAACACAGACCAGTCAGTCACGAAAACCAGCCTTCCATCTATTTACCCCACCTAGACTTCCTGCCACCTTGAGAAAGCAGCCAACATAATCAAAACCCTTCCCATCCTGGCTGTACTCTCTTCCATATCTTCTGCCTGTTGGAGGAGGATAAAAGGTTGAATACACATATGAACAGATTCAAAAACAGCTTCTTCCCTGCTGTTATCAGACTTTTGAATGGGCCTCTCAAACATTAATTCTGATATCTCTCTCTGCACCTTTTCTGTGGCTGTAACACTTTATTTTGCATTCCGTTCTACTACCCTGATACACTTAGTATGGTACAATCTGC